GGCTGAGAGACCAAAGAGTATTATCAGAGAAAAAGGGTTTGTAAAGATAGAAACACCAATGAAGGCGAGGACTACGGTGAGGTAGTTGAAATGGAAGTAGGAATAGTTCTTTTGGATACGCATTGCTGCATCCGTTAGTGATTCAGGCTTAGAGAATGTGGAACGGTCTGAAAGTAGTTCCGACCAAGGGCGGTGTTGGGAGAGGCCGGAGCGGACGGTTTCTATTATGTGGTTGATGAACGGACGGAAGTCAGGGGCAGCGACAGGTGAATGGGAGTCACCGGTGGAAATGGTTTTTGGGTTTGTGATGTGAAGGATCGCCGGTGATGAGGGCGACATTTATGGGTCAGGTGAGGATATTTGGCCGAGGTTTACTGGGGGGAGGATAAAGATGGAGAGTTGACGATTGGTTTAACATGAGAATTAGATTATTTATGAGCGCTTAAAACTTAAGAACAAAGATATGGAAGTCAAACTTTTCTATGGATTTAATACCGAATTTAATCCTTTATCAGCAAAGATATGGCAGGTGAACTTCTCTTGGAACTGGTCATATACAATTGTAAGCATAACTAATGAGGTAAAACTCAAGAATAGCAAGAAATTTCTTTGGGGTTAACGTGATGTGACATCAATCGGTTTAATATTTATATTTGAGTTTAATATACTTTTTTTATTCTAAATCCTATTTCTAAAAAAAATTCAGTTGAAACTTAGCCGTTGGTTTGATGGTATCATTTCTACATGGCATTGATTGGTTTGAATTACTTAGCCAAGTTTTGATTGGTTTGATGGTTATCATGTCTACGATGTGGCATCTACTAAGGCCATGAGGTATGGTTTGAGATTTTTACGTGTATAAAAGCTAAGCTGCCACATCATCCAATTAACAACTTCACAACATGTTTACTATTCTTGGGTGGTGTTCACTAGTGAACACCTAGTGAACAAAGAGAGAAAGAAAGAGAAAAGGAAGAGAGAGAAAGAGAGTAGTGAATTCTTATTGGTCGTAGAGAGGCGTAATGGGCATCAATCCACACCACAACCACTGGTGAGGGGGGCGGTGTTCACGTGTAAATACCCCCCTCCACGTCACCTTTTACGCGTAGAAAACCATGTCATACACCATGGCTTGATTTAAGTTATATTTGGAATGAGTTGTTATTTGTTAAGAGATTAAAAGTCTTGGAAAAAACTCATTGAATAAAAAGTTTTGTTCGCAAAGTTAATAATCTAAACAGTGACGAATTCAGAATAAAATTTAGTTGGAGTCCATTATTTATAAAAAATACATATAATTATAAAAATTTAAAGTATTTTTGGGGGGTTTTTACTAAAAGAATTTATCAATGAGGACTATTTAATGTAAAAAATGAGTGTGAAGGAGAGAATTTTTAGTAAAAATATGATTTTTAGAGGGCATTTTAGTAATAAATATGGTGAAACCCATTTCCAAGTGACATCCCTGCATCGGTAACTAACCACATGTATGTTTGGCAAAATAAAATGTAAGTTGTTAGCTGATAACTCTGTTATCATAGATGGTAATTGTTAGCCGATTTATAGATGTTGGAATCCGAAATTTAAAAGTTATAGTTTTTATTTTTATATAGATATTAGGAAAAAATAGTTGTAAGCTATTGAAATATGAAAATAACATAAAATATAAAAGATAAAAGTAAAAATTCATAGTTTTTGGACCGAAATGAAATCGTCTCAATGAAATATATGTTTATTGCGCGTAAATATAATTATATATAATATTTTATTTAGTGTTAGGTTATAATTTATTATTGTTAATTAATTTAAAAATACCTTATTTGTCAATTTTGAATGTCGCCTTATTATTATTTAAAATATCAATTAATTGATGTTTTCAAGTAATATAATATACTTTCAAATTTATGTTACTATTATTGTTTATTAATTTAGAAACTATTTTTTTAGAAAATTTCCAGTATTACAAAAATAGTTGTTGGATCGTTTTTTAGTTACCTTGGGATTGCGATCTAGTTTTATATTTAACACTATATTAATTCTGTAACTATTAACAATAGTCTTTCAACATTTTAAAAGTTTAATTAAGATTTTGATTTAAGTTTTGTCTCTAATATTATATTTTAATAAACAAGTTAAGTATATTAGATTAAACTAAATATCTTAGGTTGAAAATTTAAAGATATTAGCACTAAAAGTAAAATAATAAATAAGTTTAATGTATTAAAAATCAAGAATAAAATTATATATTAAAAAATATTGATAAATGTATCTTGTTATAAATAACTAATTCAGTGTTATCAACTATAAATATTAATTTTTATACCAAATTAAAAGGGTCGAACAATTTGTATCACTATTTTTCAATTATGTTCAACATTTCCAACAACACCATTTGCAATTATCATGGATAGTTGTGATATTTGTAGTGGAATTTTTTTATCACTATGATATCTTTTATGTATTAAAAAAATTTACAAAATTAGCCAAATACACTAATTACCTTACAAATTTAGCCAAAAAATAAAAATTGCAAAATTAACCACGAAAATCGCCGATGGAAATGACCCATCTGCGATTTTGTCCTTCTATCTGCGAATGTACAAGCGCCTAAAGCACAGCTGTGCTTTAGGCACTTGTACATTCGCAGATGGAATAGTCCATCGGCGATTTTTCGTTTTCCACCTGCGATTTTCTGGGAAAAATAGTATAAAATTGGTTTTTTTTTCTTCATTTTTCACTCTTCAATATAGAAAAACTCTCTCTCTCTCTCGGCGATTCCCTGTGACGATTTCTTGAAGAAAATGGACGATTTTTTCAACAATCCCGAAAATATGGTTAGATTTTAACTCTTTTTATGTTTTAATTAACATTTATTTAGTATATGTCTTTATTATTTTATTATTTATTGTATTAGTTAGTGTAAAAAATGAAATTATATTGTTTGTGATTGGGTAATTTTGTTGTATTTGATAATTTTAATATTATTTATTAATAAACTTGAAGTTTAAATGCTATTTTGTTAGTGGTTGTATGAATGTACAAATATAGACTGCGTATAATGTGCATTGGCTAGTTGTACATTTAGTAAAATGGTTAGAATATGTTATTTTTTTAAGTTCTTAGTTAAATAAATTGTTACAATAATGTTTACAATATGTTTGGTTAGTTGTTTAAGTTGATAAATTGATATAGCATGGTTAGAATATGTTATTTTTCGTTTGTATAGTTATTGTATAACTTAAAAAATTGTATATACTTATCGTATAAGTGGTTTTATAACTTGAAAAATTGTTAAAATAATGTTTACAATATGTTTACAATAGTCGTTTGTATATTTGTCGTATAATTTGAAAATTTGTATATATTTGTTGTTTAAGTTGAAAAATTGTTATAGTATAGTTAGAATATGTTATTTTATTTAATTTGAAAGTTAAAAATCGTTTGTATACTTGTAGTATAACATGGAAAATTGTTTATATAGTTGTCGTTTAAGTTGAAAAATTGTTATAGTATGTTATTGTTTTTCAGCATAAATATATAAATTATTGATTAAATGTTGGTTTTTGCATTGTTATTATTGTTTATGTTTGTAACGAGGTTTTAAGCCCGCGCGTTGCACGGTATTTTAAGCAATAATTAAATTTTTTGATGTAATGTTCTTTTGAAGTTTAGCTTAGACGCACTTATAATGCCTTATCTACAATAGAAATGTATTTTTCATATTTACTAATAATAAAATATAGTATAATTCCCAAATTGGTAGTCAAACTGTGACAATCTCACAAAAGTTATTGTCATCTCTTAATTTCCTCCCAAATAAGTTCTCTCGTGTACCTACATCACTTTCTTTATTTGGTAAAGCGATAGTAGAAGATAAATGATTTGAACGCACTCCACATGAAGTTTACCCTTACCGAATGTGTCAAATGGGTAAAACACTTAATTTGGACAAATATACATGCTTGTTTCTTTTGACTTAATAGGACATAATAGCTTAACGGGTTAAGCCATAAAACTTTGCTTAACGGATTAAGACGCTAACCTTTTACCTATTTGATTTCTTCTTTTTTCCTCCCTAACTTCTTTCGGTTTAAAATTAACAAACATTGTAAAATTTGTTATTTGGAATATAAGGGTATAATGGAAATATGATTTCATTCATACACTTACCATTACCCAAACATGACTTAATGGGGGTAAAAAAGAAACATACCCTTAATTTCAAGTCCAAATTTAAATTCTAAATTTACTCACGGGTTTAGGGGTTTTGATTTCAGCTACCAAGCCACGAAATGGTTGACTGAGTAAAGAAATGACATCATTGTCTATTTTCTTTTCCGAGATGTTGAAGTACTTGCTAAAGGTAATGATCGGGACTCCATCTCATGTTGCATCATTGTAACATTTTCCTTGTAAAATCTAAAAATTTAGTAAAAGAATAAAGAAACCAAATACAAATTGTGGTATTCTATTATAATATTATATTAGATTGTTTTTCTTTTTTTCATCGGTACATAAGTCAAAAAAAATGGTTAAAACTCATTAATCGTGTTATATGTATCTTAAATTCAAAGCTGAAACTCATTAATATCATTTCGTTACAATAAATAAAACATTTTACTTTTATGTATAAGTTGATTGAAATATTTATCTATTGAGAAAATGTATAAATTATATGTTTATCAAGAAAAACATAAATCAAATCTTTAGGTAGGAACCAAAATCAATAATGCTAAAAATATTTGTTTGATTGAAAAATATGAAAAAGTTGCATTTTTTTTGGTAAATAACAAAAACAAATAAGAAATATGTCATGTTAGTGAGTGAAGCAAGTATGTTACCTTCCTTAGACCATCAACCATGGTTGCATCAATGTGACTATTATGCAAATAAGAAATAGAATGTCACGGGAGAATAAGAACTTGTAAGAAGTTATAAGATGATGTAAAGAAGGAATGTTTGAATTGATAATATGAAAAGTAAAACTCAATTAAAAGATTGTCCATGGATGGTCCCTCTCTCACAGAGCATAATACTCAGAAGCCAATACAAACATAGCAAATAACATCATGATGCAGAAATGAAATACTCCTTCCTCTTTTATTCTATCCTCTCTCCGTAACCACCATTAGCCACTTTCTTGATTTGCCCTACTGATTCTTCAGTAGTGGTCTAGGTGTGCTCTCTTTTGTGGTTATTAGATTTGTATCCATATCACACCATCTTCAACAACTGCTCAATATCTTATCTTTCTCTTCTATTTCTTCTTTGCATTGCACCTGCATACCATCAAACCTTGTTTTTCCTTCATTCAATCTCATCATCAACTTCCCACTGTCTATGTAACTTTCTTATACGTACACACATTCCCATTGTTAAATGACCAAAAATGCCTTTTGTGGGACCCAAAGGATTCAAGATTTCATACCGGAATAATATGCTTAAACATGCGATTGTTAAATCATCATCATGTTTCTTCATCACAAAATACAAATGTAATCTCATATGAAACCAAAAACCCAAGAAAGTGCCATCAACCAAAATCAAGAAAACAACAAGCAAAAAAAAAAAATCTAAGCCTGCAAAATTTCACTCTTTCTTTATATATATTTTTTTCTGTCATTTTAACTTTTATAAGCTCTTTTAACATTAATTAACCGCATGATATACCTATTTATTTATAAAGATATGTAAATAATCATTATCTTTACCGGATATATGAAGATGAATTTTCCAGCAATTATCCTAGATTTCTCATTTTCAAAATCATCCATGCAGAGCCTCCGGTGGCGATGGAGGTGCCGACTGTGCCGCCAATAGTGGAAGTTCCGACAGTCGTGTAGTTCAGGGCCCTTCAGGAGAGCCTAATTGATGACCATCTTTGAACATTTAGGATTACTGATCTTGAAATCTTGGGTCAATAAAGAAACAACATATGAATTTGAGGATGGAAGTCTTCGTGTATGAAAAACCGATATTTCTAAAACTGATAATAAAAAAACCATTTAGCATTTTGTAAAATATATATAAATTGCAGAAAATTTACCGAAAGTAGATAGATAACTATCCTGCAAATGTTTTTTGACTTCATCATTGGTGAGACTGACCATCTACTCACATAAGATCACAAATTTGCTTGGGAGTAGCAACTGCAAGAAAAATGGAACAAATATTGACTTATTATTATCTTGATTAATCATATTTATTTCCTCTTATGAAAATCAAATTTCTTACAGTTTTCATGAGCCGCCGTTGATTAACAAATATTGATCCTAAAGCAGCATCTAATCCAATCTTTAGACAACTAAGTACCGATTCACATATTGCAACTATGATCCAAAAATCATACCCTATGAAATGTCTCTAAATAACTTCGAATCAGTTAAAATCTAACATTTTAGCATAAAAAATACTTACTTTTCAAGAACTAACCTTTTGAACCTCCACCTCCACGCTGTTGAAGATCATTTAAAAACAGCATCTTCTTTGCTTCCTAGACGTTTGTTGTTGTGGTGGCTAAGGCTGACGGGTACAACGTTTACATTTGATTGAATAACATTAGTAACCATTTCCCCTCATTGGATTCTTGATTCCAGGGGTAATAAAGGAAATCCCCAGAATTGGTAAATCCTCCTCATCTTCATTCCTTGTAAAGTATCCCTTGAATGGGATAAACCAATATATAAGTTTCTATTCCAATAACAATGTTTTAGTCATGTAATTTGAGAATCAGTCATCAAATAACCCTAATATGCTTCATGTTTGTCAGGTCAATGCTGCAAAAAAAGAGCTCTTAGTTACCTTTGTTCACAAAAACGTTCAGGTGCGTTTTGGGTGAGGATCAAAAAAGGTATTATAACTATACATGGGACTGATTCAACTTCCTCTCAACCTTCGCCAATAGCAACATGGTTGTGGTAATGGCGTTCAGAGTGGCGGAGGTGTTCAGGATGGTGTTGGTCAAAACAGAAAAAAAATCAAAAATCAAAAATGAAAGAAACATAGATTAGCAAACCCACTACTAACATTCATTTAACAAAAGTAAGGGATCTTTACCTGTATGGGTCTCAAAGACAAAATAAAATCGGGTTTTCGTTCCATGCTAGGTATGTGGATCTAAAAGAACAAAAGAACACTCATGTAATATAAGATTCAATCTTTTTATCAGACAATGACCAACAAATCTATCTCTTTATCCAAAACCCTAAGCGAACATGTAGAGAGAGAGAGAGCGAGAGAACTTACTCATTTGATCGTGATTGGTAATAATTTATCCTGTTCACAAACATTTGAAGACCTTGGGCTTCGTTTCCCGCTCAGATGACTCATGATGCCTGGACTCGCCAGACCGGCGACGTCAATGGTGGTGGTGGGGGTGACAACCAAGGGATGGTGGGGAAGAGGGAGTACGGGAAAAAGCTTTCAAGCACAATGCAAAGAAGTCATGGATTTCTTTAGGAAGCGTGTGAGAGAGTTTTGAAGAGAGATAGTGGGGGAAGAGGGAGTACGGGAGAAGCACTGAAGCATGAAACAAAGTCTTCAAACTATAGTGAAAAACACTATAGTTGATGTGCTCTTATCTACAGTGTTTAACATTTTGACAAATGTTAATGTTTACAATTTGAAAGTTGAATTATTATTGCATTTAATAATCTGATATTTTAAAATGAAATAGTTGTTTAATTTTTTAATATGTTATTGTTTTTTGTGCAACATGATTCTAATAAATTAAATGTTAAAGCTATTGTGAACTTAAAAGGATCGGGGTGTAACATATGGGAAGTATTTGATGTGTTAGATGGTGTCAGACGTGATATTTTTAGAGAAACAGTATTTGGTTGCTTGTTGGATGTCCCTCGTTTACAAGGGGACAGATTGCTGTTCCACAAGATGTTTCTTCATCAGATACGGCCGGACGCTGTTTTATCTCCCGATGGAATAAAACAGTTATATTTTAGAGTGGATGATACGAAAATGGTATATGGCCCGGAAGAGTTTTGTTTGATAACCAGGTTGAATTTTGGCGAGTATCCTAAAAATATCGGGAAAAAAATGTCAGAAAAAATTGTTACTAGTAAAAAAAGATGTTTATTGCGTGGACGTCTATTTCCGAAGCATACAAATAGTTCGGTGAAAATCGGTGACCTGAAAAGTTTTATTTTAAATCATCCATTCTTAGAAGTTGGCGACGCTGATGCAGTTAGAGTATGTTTGATATACATTTTGTGTGAAAGTTTTTTGGGAAAAGAAATAAATGATCGGGTGCCACAATATTGGTTTTTTTTTGCTGAGAATTTGGATGTCTGGAACATGTATTTTTTGTTTACTTTGAAAGTTTCATATTATTAATGTTAATTTATATTATAACTAATATTTGTTTGTTTTGTTAGTTTTGCTTGGGGTAGCTATTTATGGGATTTTACCTATGAGGACCTTGAGAATACGTGGAACAAGATAAATAAATATTTATCACTGCCTGAGCATCGTCAAACTTTAAAATACTCCGTGTCAGGATTTACGGCTCCATTTAGGGTATAAAAATTTATTTATATTTAAATGGTTTTATTGTTATGTTAGTTATTTTAATTTTAACTTTTATTACTATAATTGTAAAATTATAGATATGGATATATGAGATGCTTCCGGCTGTTCGTGCCTGTGGATTTGTATTGAGAAAAAATAGAGACATTCCTCGGATGAAACGATGGAGTGACACAAAAAAATTGAAATGGGTTGATGTGAACAAGATTTTTTCAAAGACACTGGTTTATAATTTTTTTTTTTATTTTTAATAAAATTCATTATTATACTTTTATATGCATTTTTAATATGTTCAGTTTTTTAGGCGGGACAACGACTAAGAAATAAAATGTCACCTAGTGATGATGAGATGACATCTTGTTATTATATGTCATTTCAAGAGTATGTATATGGTGAACGGAAATCAGTTCCATCCCCAGTACGGGACCATTTTAGGAGACAACACGAATCTCCGTCTAGTATGTCGTCTAGTGGTCGCTCTCACGGTAGAGGTGGGCGTAGTGGGAAACCCAGCTTAGAGGAGGTGTTGAAACGGCTACATGCACTGGAGCAACAGATGTTTATGAACCGACAACCTACTGAGGTGTTTGTTGAAGAAGTGAATAATGAAGATCTATGGAATAACATCAGTTTTGAGGAGGATACTCTATTCAAACAAATTTTGATCAACCGGTTAGTTACACGCTACATTTTTTTTTATAATTTATTAACATATTTGAAAATT